ATTCTGGGAGTTGAAGTTCACAGGTTTTAAAGTCGCCGAGTTTGAAAAACACTGTTGTAGATGGTAGATGTAGATGTGGCAGAGAGACCCTTCTGGCAACCCACCCCAAGGATGCCTTGGTGATTGAATTCCTTGACCGCAAAACATCTGTATTGAATCCATTTGTTCTCAAATAAATGGGCGGGGGATTTAATCTGTAAGCATTGCCTCCTGCTCCCCCTTTAAGCTCCCCCCCCAAACCAATTGCAATGTAATTGACTCTTTCTCAGGGCACTGCTGAGCCTTTCCTGGCAATTTAAAAAACGCCAAGCATTTTTCAGTTTCACTCTGATCCTGTTCCAGAAGTATGATACCATTTCCTGCGTGTAACGGGGGTGGGGGGAGGAATTGAGAGGGGTGTGCAAGAGGAGAGAGAAGTTTCTTGCTTTTCACAATTTTTTTTTAAAGAAACAAGCTGGTTGCGAGGCACACTGTTGCTCGGGTGCGGAATGGGAGAGCAGGGGGTGAATTAGAAACACATTGGGTAGATGTTTATGAGATTGTGAAGCCCTGAACAGGAGACCGGTTTCGTGCTGCGTTGTAGGATGAAGGCAAAAAGAACACTAAGACCCAGAAGCCACCTTCTCCACCATCCAACGTGTCTCACAGCTACATCTCAGAGCTTTGAGATAACGAAGGAGCAGGTATAAGGCCACACATTGCACTAAACCATGGATTTGTTTGACCATGCTTCCTTAAATGGAATACAGCTGGATGAATGCTCGGCTAACAAACCCTGCTCTAGAAGTCACAATGGCCGGGTTTGCAGGACGCACCAAGCCTAAACCAAGCTGCATGATGACTTAGCAGGTCGGGTGCATCAAGTCATCGTGTGACGCGTTTGACATGCGCTATGTGTGGCCTGCTCAGCACGAAACATGGCATTTGTCCCATCGTGTTGGCTGTGTTTTTTTAAAAAAATTGAACTCTTTAAAGAAAATATATCAAAAAGCACAAGAAAGTAGATGAAAAAGAATAAAGTAGTATGTTTGAATCCTGATGGAGGATGGATGGATGGATGGATGGATGGATGGATGGATGGATGGATAGATAGATAGATAAAGATAGATAGATAGATAGATAGATAGATAGATAGATAGATAGAT